TGCAACAGCTTCCTGAGCAAAGATACTCTCCTAATGCCCTTTCCTAGCTCCATGTTTCCTGTTCCCGAGACAGCTTCTCTAGTGAAGGTACCTTGTGGGTTCATTGCTTTCTCTCTCAGTCTTCCCTTCGGATGACTCCGTGGTCCTGAGGCACCGTCTTTGCTCCGTTTGGTCCTGCTCCAGAGACCGCTCTTCCTCTAAAGTATTCGTCTCTACTGTACATACATATATCTAATAGAAATAAGTATGGGGTGGCAACTTCCCCTTTTGCTCTGAGAAACCGCTCTTTTTTTTGTTAACACTTGCACCCTATACGACGGGAGGGAGGCTACAGTTTCGAAAAGCCTGGTGGAGGGGATTGTGTGTACGTATGAGAGAGGAAGTTGCAGCTTCTCTTCTGCAGGGAGCAAAATGAATGCTCTGTGCAAAAAAATGGGGCTGAGTCTTGCCTGAGGAGCAATCCTGCAGTATACCTCTTATTCTTAATGTTTTGGATTTCTCTCCTGCTTTGGTCCCAAACCGGGACCTTCTTTGGATTTTATTGTGAGCACAGTGAGATCCAAAGAAGGTGTAAGACATTATAATTTTGAAAAAATTATAGTATTAAAAGCTGGCCGGATAGCTCAGTGGTTTAGGTCTCTGGCTATGGAGCCGTAGGTTGAGAGTTCAATTCCCCACTTTTGTAAATACAGCCGTCCTGTGTGACCTTGGGCAAGCTGTACAATCCCAGGGCGCCCACAGAAGAAGGGAATAATAAACCACCTTTGAGTACTCACTACCTAGGAAACCTTGAAAAAGGGTCACTGTAAATCAGAATTGACTCAACGGCACATGATGATGATGAACATTGCATAATATTAAAACACAACTGAATTTAAAGTGTGCTTTGAAGAGATTAATAAACAAAATACACCGCCCACCTGCTCTGTTTAAAGCCCCTTGGCACCCAAGTCTGTTGCCAAAAGTTTGTCTGGAAGATAAAATGACGTGTTGCCTGACAGTGGAAGGAGATACTGACAAGTCAGTTGCCAAAAGTTTGTCCGGAAGATAAAATAAAATATGTGTTGCCTGACAGTGGAAGGAGATACTGAGGGAGGCCCACCTAACTCCTATCAGACGGGAGCTCCAACCCTGGGAGCAGATACTGAGAAGGCCCTGTTTTGCCTTGCCCTCAAACGTGAAGATAACTGGGACTAAGAAAAGGCCTCTCTCTAGATTTCAAAGCCTAGCGAGGTTTGTTTGGGAGAATATGGTCCCTCAGATTGTCAGGACTTGGAATTGTACACAGAAATAGCCTGGTAGCCAGTGGAGCTACTATTAACAACAAAGCTGTGTGTTTCTCCATAACTAACTCTGTCAATATTTGGCCACAACCTTTTGGAACCACTGAGGTTCCCAAACACTCTCCAAAGGAAGCACCACACACATGAAATGTAACTAAGCCATGTGTCTCTGTCACTGGGTAAGGCAACTTCCAGGAAGAAGCAAAACCGGCACTTGTGTGAAGGCACTATTGCCCATTCCAGAAATCTAGTAATCTATGCACAGGACTGAATCTAAGTGTATAGCCGACCACTGAATCTGTATTTTGAGGGGAGTGTAATCCCATTCAGTACCGGTCGAATGCTTACTACATGATCCGCCTCTTGACCGGGAGCATCACCATCCTGTCCAGATTAATTTCACTTCTTTCATTTTGAGAGGTTCTTAGGCCTTTAGTATCTACATGTTAGGCCTGTACCACATGTTCTCTTCTATGTCAGTGATGGCTGTAGCTATTGAATTTAACCTGTGCGAGCTAGGGGAATTTCAGCTTAGTTTTATGTTTAAACTCTCTTTATGGCAACCCTTTTGGGGGTTTTCCAGGTAGAGAACACTCAGAAATGGTTTGCCCTTCCCTTCTTCTGGGGGCATCCTGGGACTATGCAGCTGGCCCAAGGCCACACAGGCTGGCTTTTCTCCCAGGTGGCACAGTCAGGAATTGAACTCTCCGCTTCTGGCTCTGGTGCCAGATACCTAAACCATTGGGCTATCCAGCCAGCTACTACCGGGAGTAAGGACTGATAAACCACTTCTGCATGGGTCATACCAAGAAAACACTGGGAGCATCTCTGTAATTTAGAATCAACTAGGTGGTACGCACCTACAGTGTCTACAGTCAAAGACAAAAATCTGGACCTTCAGAACAATGGAAACTAGTGTAGGCCAGTGATGTGGAAACAGTGGCCTGTGCCACCTCTGGGAAACGCTCCCCCACCCAACGGACTCAGTGGTGCCTCGCTTAACAAGCGCTTTGTTTAACGAAGAATCCGCATAGCAACAATTTTTTTTTTGCGATTGCAAAAGCGATCGAGCCCCACCCCACCCAATGGACTCAGTGTGTCTCCCATGATTACTTCATTTTTAAAAGAGAGTCTGGGTTTTTTTATGTTTATGTTGAAAATCACCTCCCCAAAGCTTCTGGAAATGTAGTTTGCAATTTTGGGGCATTTTTGGAAGATGGAAATTAAAATGGATGAAGATGTCAGGAGACGGAGATAAAAAAGGAAGAACATGGCCTCTGACAGTCAAAGGTTCCCGCTTTTAAAAGAGAGTCTGGGGTTTTTTATGTTTATGTTGAATATCACCTCCCCAAAGCTTCTGGAAATGTAGTTTGCAATTTTGGGGCATTTTTGGAAGATGGAAATTAAAATGGATGAAGATGTCAGGAGACGGAGATAAAAAAGGAAGAACATGGCCTCTGACAGTCAAAGGTTCCCTACCTTTGGTGTAGGTATATATATTGTTGTAAGAAGCTGTATAAACAAACACAGTTAAGTTTTCCAAGTTTTATTTGCAATGGTTGATAGATGGTTCTAGTTGATAGTTGAGGTTCTGAACATCTGGATAGGCTAGCCTTCCCAGTAGAAATGGAACCAAGACAGCTGAAATCATCTGATATAATCTATCCACTGTAAATCTGTTGATGTGATGGAGGTCATCTGTCAGAAGAGAGAGGGAGTCAGTTTATTTGTCTGTGTATGTGTGTGAAATATATGTATACAGTGGTCCCCGCTTGATGACGATAATGCGTTCCAGCAAAATCATTGTTAAGTGAAATTGTTGTCAAGCAAAAAAACCCCATTGAAATGCATTGAAAACCGGTCAATGCGTTCCAATAGGGGAAATACCTCATCATCCAGCGAAGATTGCCCATAGAGAACTGCCGGTCAGCTGTTAAATATAGCTGTAATACGAAGCTTCCGTCCAGAAAGCAGCCATTTTGAGAAGGGAGGGAAGCCATTTTGCGGAGGGAAGCCATTTTGCGGCGCCGGAAAGCAGCCATTTTGAGAAGGGAGGAAAGCCATTTTGCAGAACTGGAAAGCAGCCATTTTGAGGAGGGAAGCCATTTTGCGGAGCCAGAAAAAACAAGCTCCTAATCAACGTAAAGCGGATTTCCCCCATTGGAACCATTGTTTTGCGATCACTATAGCGATCACAAAAATACCATCGTCAAGTAATTTCGACGTCATGTGGTGTAATCGTCTAGCAGGGCACCACTGTATTTAAAGTGTAGTTGGGCATCATTCTGAACCTGTGGAGAGTATGTGCACAAGCCCCAGGCTTACCAGTGGAAGTTTGTGACTCTGATTGTGGAGGAGTGTGTGGTTTGTCCATTGTTGGTTTTAGTCAGAACTTTATGGGAGCTCTCCAAGGTACAGAACTGTATCGCTCTCCCCAATAGATTCTGTGCTTTGGATGCCTCTTCGAATATTCAAGCTAAAATCCAGGATGGATTCAACGCCCTCACAGAACTGGAGTCATCACTGCTGCTGCCCCCTCTATGCGGCCCCCATCCAGCAGTAGGGAAGATCTGCATAGAAGCCTGTAAGCACATTCAGCTTCTGTTGCTCCTCCTGTGTCAGAGACAATTGCCTCTAGAAGGCTGTGCAGATTTGTAGTTTTGGATCTCACCTCCATGTTGTGGGAACTGTAACTGAAAAACACATGTCCACACCTCTTGTTGCCTCAACCTGCCTGAAGGTCAGTCCATGATGGCCAATTTTGTTGGCCTTTAAGAATGTTTAGGGTCAAAATGAAAACTGCCATCCCTGGAACTCTTCAGGGGCAGTGACTCTCCCCAAGAGCAAGATATGCTGACAATGCACACTTTGTGATTTAACTGCAGTGCTGCAGCCAAAACTGTGCTCATGACCCAGGTTCAATCTCAGGTAGCCAGCTGAAGGCTCACTCAGCATTCCATCCTTCTGAGGTTGGTAAAATGAGTACTCAACTTACTAAGGATGTGCACAATGTATTTTTTGCGTACAGTGGTGCCTCGCTTAACGAGCGCCTTACTAAGGGTGTGCACAATTTATTTTCTGCATAATTTAATTATAAACCACCCAGAGAGTGCTTTAAATGCTATGGAGCGGTATATAAACAGCATGCTTTCCTTTCCTCTAGCAAAAATAAACAAATCTCTCTCCCCCCCCCAAACAGGAAGTATTTTGTTCAGGTTTTCCATAAAAGATGTAACCTGGTTCTGGAGCATCCCGCACCTGGGCAAATGCTCCTCAGAATAAGAGATCCATCTCCCAGTTTTAGACTGGGGGCCTGTCCAGATGGGTGAATTTGGAGCGATCTGGTTTGCACTTAGAAGTTTCTTCCCTCCAGTGAAAATCTCTTTTATCTCTCACTTGAGCGATCCTTCTGTAAGGGGTTTCAATGCATTCCTGTGGGCTTTTAAAAATCGCTTAGCGATGTTTCGGTTAGCAGTGATTTTTGCTGCATGGATTAACATCGCTAAGCGAGGCAACACTGTAATTGAATTATAAAACACGTCTAGCAAAAATAAACAAATATCCCCTCCCCAAGCAGGAAGTATTTTGTTCAGGTTTTCCATAAAATATGTAACCTGGAGCATCCCATGCCTGGGCAAACGCCCCTCAGAATAAAAGATTCCCCCTCCCAGTTGGAGACTGGGGGCCTGTCCACATGGGTGAATTTGGAGCGGCCTGGTTTGCACTTAGAAGTTTCTTCCCTCCAGTGAAAATCTCTTTTATCTCTCACTTGAGCGATCCTTCTGTTCACCACGGGGAATGATTATTCTCTTGTGAAAAGGCTCCACACAGGTCCTTGGATCCCTGGTTTGCTCGCGTGAAACGTTCAAATCAAACCGTACCTATCTCTGCACCTGTCTGGGCAGACCCTGTCTTTAAGACCCTGCTTTGTTACAAGAAGCTGTTGGTGGTAGACCATGGCCCAGAGAGCCTTTTCGCAGTTCAAGCTGACACGTCGATTGCAGTCCCACCTGGGCAGAGGT